AAGCCCCGGGGCCTAGTCCTGCGCTGTGCCATGAGCGCCCCGCGGACGGACCCTGCGCACACCTCCCGGTCGGAGGGACCAAGGGGCTCCTGGGGACTAGAGGGGACCACGCATCTGGCCTCCTGCGGCTTCGCCGGCCGCGAGAGGCGGGCCCTCCCTGCGGGGCGGAGCTTGAAGTCTGGGCACCGCCTTCGTCCCCTTCACGGCCAAGCGAGTTGGCAGCGCCCTCTCGCGTCCGCCCGGGGAGCGCAGGGCCCGTGAGACGGGGGCGGGCGGGGGCGGCGCCGCACATCCTCACCCGGCCTCCCGCCCCGGGGAGGCGCCAGGCTCGGGCTGGAGGGTGCGCAGGCTCGAGGGGTAGGTCACCGGAAGCGAGCGCCCCGGACCCCGCCTCAACCCGCAAGCCTCCGCATCTGTCCCACCGCCGTTAGTGCAGAATCTATGTTTTGTTTGGGTTTTACAATTGAACCACCCCACGTAGAGTTTGCAATCTACAATTTTTGTTTAGCAAACTGATCATCTTATTAGCACGGATTGGTCTACTACATGCCTTTAACAATATGAACAGAAGTTTTGGGGGTGTTTTAATTTTATTGGAAAATCAGAGAAAATTGTATTTATATCTTCTTCATCTTGTCTATTATCACCTGTTTGCCTGTACTTCATCTGTCATTGTAAAAATTCACTAATTTGTGTTTCTGGTAGGTATGCCTTAGGATTTTCCTAGGAGAGGGGGAAGAAAAAATTATTAGTGAAAAGAGTTGAATTCTTAGTGGGAAATCTCACATTTGGCTTCAAACTCAGTACACAGAACACACTGGCATTAATTATAAACCTTTTATCTACTTCCCATTTGCACAGTTCTTTTTTTTGTTTGTTTTTTTTGCACAGTTCTTTTTGCATCATTCTGTTTTGACATGCTTGGTTCTGCCAACAAAATTGAGAGACTGTATATATTATATAATTATATACATACATAATTATATAATATAATAATTGTATATATATTTGGCTGCACAGCACAGCATGTGAGATCTTAATTCCCCCACCGGGGATTAAACCTGTGACCCCAGCAGTAGAAGCACAGAGTCCTAATCACTGGATCACCAGGAAGCCCTTGTATCATTTTTAGATCAGGAAACTGAGCTCTGAGATACTAGACGGTGGGCGCACGGCGTCTTTCCCAGGTGCTCAGAAATGACAAACACACACAGACACACTCAAAGACAAGGCAGGGTTCTTCCAGAGGTCCATAAACCATGAGGGATCCTGGAAGGAAGGGTATGTAGTGCTGTCTCTTTGTGGTTTTCATCTGTCTTTCCTTGGATGTTAAGCATCTTTTCCTGTGTTTGCAATTTATATATCTTCTTTGGTGAAATCTCTAACCTAGTTTTTTGTCCTATTTTTTGGTTGTTTTCCTTGTTACTTTTGACTTCTCTGAATAGAATTCCTTTATCTGACATACATTTTGTAAAGATTTTCTCCCCATCTGTAAGAGAAAGACGTTTGCCTTATTTTTTATTTCAGAGTGAAAACACTCTCTTCACCATTAAGTACAATGTTTATGGGTTTTAGCTGCTCTTTATCCAGTTGAAGAAGTTTCCTTCTATTCCTAGTGTGCTGAGAGTTCTTAACATGAATGGATATTGAATTATGTCAGATATTCTTTCTGAATCTATTGAGATGAACTTGTGTTTTCTCTTTTTGCATTTGTTAAGATGGTGAATTACATCAATTGGTCTTGAATATTAAGCCAACTTTGCATTCCTGTGGTGAATTTCCTTAATGATAAGGTAATGTCCTCTTTATGTATTGCTAGATTTTATTTTCTAAACTTTTTAAAAAGATTTTAATGTTTATGAGGGGAATTGGTATTTTTTTCTGTGTAATATCTGTTTTTTGTAGCAAGGTAATGTTAGTCTTATAAATGCAATAGGAAGCATTCAACTCTCCTGTTTTCAGGAAAAGAATTATGAAATTTGTATTATTTATTCCTTATATATTTGGAAGAATTTATCAGTGAATTCTTTATCATTTTTTTCCTGTCATTTTTTTAAAATTATGGATTAAATTTCTTTATTGTAAATAAGTCTGTTCAGGTATCTATTTCTTCTTAAATTAGTCATGGTTGTTTATATCTTTTACATAAATTTTCCATTCCATCTAAGTTTGATGCCAAATTTACTGGCATCAAATTCAAAATAATTCCCTAATTCTTTAACATCTGTAGAATCCATAGTGATTTTTTTTTTAAGTGGGTGAATTTACACAGTGACACGAACAGGTGCAATGTTCTATGAACATTCTGATATATGCCTACACCTGAGTAACTAACACTCAATCTGCATGAAATGGTTTCTTCAGATAATTCTTTCTTGATGACTTCCAGCTTACCCCCGATCCCCGCTAATATGAACTGAGTTATCATGATTCTTTTTGTCTGGTTTGAACTTCATGTGATTGGAAATAGCAGGCTTTGTGTCAACTTTGCCCAGCATGCTTTGGAGAGTCAAACACATGGCTGTTCAATTTTTTTTTTTTTTTTACTGCTGTATAGAATTACATTGTGCAGCTATATCACATCCATTCTCCAGCTGATGGGTGTTTCCAGCATAGGGCTATCACAAATAAAGATGCTACGGAGATTCCCATGTCTCTTCGTAGACGTATGTTCTGCTTTATCTTGGGTAAAAAGTGTGGCATTGTGGAGCTGTAGGGTGGGTATGTGTCTGAAAGCAGCTGACCGCTCACCCAGTGGCTGTGCTGTTTCTATCCAGTGGTGTATGGACACTCCATCTGCTCCACATCCTCATCTTTATTTGCTGTTGTGAATCTTTAACATTAGCCATTCTCAAGTGTACAAGTGTTATTGCACTGTGGTTTGACACTCCTGATGACTCATTTTAAGCCTTTTTTCAAACTAGCTATTGATATACCTTCTTTAGTGAAGAATCTTTTGCCCATTTTTTAAATTGTTTTTCTTTTTATTGATTTGTAGGAGCTCCTTATTTATTTTGGATGCAAGTCTTTGTCACATAGCACTGTCAATAGTTTCACCTCATCTGTGGTTTCTCTTTTCACTTAATGGTGTATTTTGATGAAGTCTAATACACTAATTTCTTCTTTTGTATTTAGCACTTTTTGTATTTCTTAAAAAAAACTTTGTCTATACCAAAGATATTTTAATATTTTTAAAGATATTTTAATATATTTAAAGATGTTTTAATATTTTTAAAATTGAAGTACAGTTGGTTTATAATGTGTTAATTTCTGCCACACAGCAAAGTGATTGAGTTACATGCATACGTATTTTTATACTTTCTATTATGGTTTATCATAGGATATTGACTGTAGTTCTCTGTGCTGTACAGTCGGCCTTTGTATATCCATTCTGTCTATGAGAGCTTGCCTCTACTAACCCCAGCCCCCTTACCTACCAGCAGTCTCTTCTCTGTTCCTTGAGTGTGTTTCTATCTCATGGATAGGTTCATTTGCCATATTTTTAGAGTCCACAAGTCATATCATATTGGTATTTCTCTTTCTGACTTACTGCACTCAGTATGGTAATCTCTAGTTGCACCCATGTTGCTGTAAACGGCATCATTTCGCTCTTTTTATGGCTGGATGGCATTCCATCGTGTATACGGACCACATCTTTACCCACTCTGTTGATGGACATTCAGTTGCTTCCACGTTCGGCTGTTGTATACAGTGCCACTGTGAACACTGGGATGCATCTTTTTTTAAAAAAATATTTGGCTGCGTCGGGTCTCAGCTGTGGCATGTGGGATCTTAGTTCCCCGACCAGGGATCAAGCCCATATCCCCTGCATTGCAAAGCGGATTCTTAACCAGTAGACCACCAGGGAAGTCCTGCATGTATCTTTTTGAATTATAGTTTTCTCTGGAAATATGCCCAGGACTGATTTGCATTTCTCTGATAATTAGTGATGTTGAGCAGTCCTGTACTATTTTAAAGACGCCCCCCACAAGTTAACATTGGCTAAAGTAAAGAAACTGGACAGCAGTGTTAATACATGAGAATTTATTCCTGATGAGGTGAAGATACCTGGTTGCACATGGATGGGAATTCAATAATTTATGTGGATTTCTGATGGGCTCTTACTCTAGTTTTTCATGTGTGTACAAAAGCAGAATTCCACCTTCTGCCCTCTGCAGCTGGTCTCATCTTCCCTCTAGAAGTCAGGGGAACACACCTTCCCCAAAAGGACAGACTGGGGGGATTCAGCCGCCTGGCTCTTCTCTGCACCACAGTCTCAGGACATCCCAGAACATGATCAGACCTTCCAGAATGCTTAGGTTCTATAGACCCGGCCAGAGGCCAGGCTACAGCTCTCAACCGGGAGTCACTGCAGACACCTCGGAAGCCTGGCTGTGTCCTGGGGGCCTGACAGAGACCGTGCTCACAAGGTCTGGCATGATGTCTAACCGGGTTCCCCAAACCCAGAGCAGAGGGTGTGGCAGCCAGCCTCCTGTGGCGTAGCGCGCTGTGGCTCCACGGGGGACAGCCTGGGGCCCTGACGCAGCGCTCCCTATGCCCAGCAGCCAAGCCAAAACAGGGACGAAAGCTCAGTGTTACAGTAAAATTGTACAAAAGGTCTTTTGCTAGTATGATTATTTTCAGTTAAATAATAAGGCACTGTCTACATATACATTACACGCTGTGCACCCAGGATCCAGATGCAGTGGAAATGGACACGCATGTCCAGTAAGGGTTTGTTTGTGCTGTTTTAGATAGAATGCTGATCTTTGGTATAAAAAATGTCTCTTTTCATTATAAAAACACTGCATTTGTTAAACATTGACATGAATCAGCCATGGATTTACATGTATTCCCCATCCCGATCCCCCCTCCCACCTCCCTCTCCACCCGATTCCCCTGATTCCCCTGGGTCTTCCCAGTGCACCAGGCCCGAGCACTTGTCTCATGATTCATGTCAATGTATGACAAAAACCACTACAATATTGTAAAGTAATTAGCCTCCAACTAATAAAAATAAACGAAAAAAAAAAAAAAAAACCCTGCATTTGTTAAAAAGGAAAAAACACAGAGCCTGCCTCAGCCCCGTGCAGACAGCCTCGCCCCACTGCTGTCCCCTCCCTGGGCGGGCTCTGTCCCCTGCTCCAACGGGTGACAGCAAGGGCAGGCACAAACCTACTCAACCACAACGTGGTCATTTAGAAGCAGCCCTTCTCATGAGCTTTACTGGAAACAAGAGGTCAGTGTGCGGGCGCTTGCCTCCTGTAAGCCCAGCGCCTGGTATCTGCTGAGTGAGTGAGGGCAGCGGGTGGGAAAGCATGGCCAGAGACCGGCAGTCTGCAGCTCACAGGTGCTTTAGCTCCATGGCTCTCGGCTAGCCTGGCGCTGGCCCAGGGTGTAGATCCTGGAACCATCCAGACAGCACGGGAGGGCTTCTCGGCAGAGGCTGCCTGAGAAACACCTCCCCACCCCCGGAAACGGTCCAGTTTCATCAGCTAACGTCCAGGAGGGGAAGTGTGACAACAGCGGTCAGAGAGCCCAGGAGGCCCTGCAGTGGGCCCGCCCCGACGCCGGGCAGATAGCCCCGGCCGGCTCAGATCGCCTCCCCTCGGGAAGCGCCAGCAGCTGTCAGAAGGTGCATCCCTGGCTCACAGTGCACACGCCCCCTTGGTCACTCGACCTTCCAGATGGCGATCTTCCCCTCCTCACGGCCGGCGCCGCTCAGCACGTATCTGTCCTCCGCGGAGCACAGCGTCTTCACCGTGTCCGCGTGGGCCGCCAGCTCCTTCTCCACCGTCCTCCTCTCCGCGTCCATCACATAGATCTTCCCCTTCAGTCGCCCCTGTGACAGCCCCGTGGCGCCCACCCAGATCTGCCAGGAGAAGCGGGCATCACATGTGTAGCCCAGCTGGGAGGCATGTGGGGCCCCCAGTCAGGCAGCAATGGGCACCCCCAGGCCCATGTCCTCTCACCTGCTTCTTCACCCTGATCATGCAGTTGATCTCAGAGCAGTCCTGGAGATGGATCCTCTGCGGGGGCTGGGCTAGGTCCTGCAGGCTCCAGACGTAGACGTCAGGGTACCCGGCACAGGCCGCCCAGAGCTGCTCCTGCTAAAGTGAAACGGGTCAGGGCAAGCACAGCGGCAGTCCCGCAGCTCGGGGGTGCCAGCCCAGCCCAATGTGCTGGGGTACCTCGGGCATGAGCTGGAATCCCAGGAAGGAGGTGCCTGTCTCTTTAAAGCTCCCGTCGATCTTCAGCTCTTGACAAGGAGATCCATTCATGTTCACCACCAGGATGCTGTCTCCAGTGCCTGCAGGACCGAAGAGTAGGATGAGGGGTGGGCAGAGTGAACGTGAAGCGCAGGGACGAAAGGGCCGTGGGGGCTCGGGGTGACCAGCAGGCCACGGCCCCTTCCCCACATCTGAGTGCGGCGTGAGACACTCTAACTGTAGCCTTGGTGTTACAGGCCTAGATAGCTTATTAAAAAGCAGAGATATTACTTTTCTGACAAAGGTCCATTTAGTCAAAGCTATGGTTTTTCCAGTAGTCATGTATGGATGTGAGAGTTGGACCATAAAGAAAGCTGAGCGCAGAAGAATTGATGCTTTTGAACTGTGGTGTTGGAGAAGACTCTTGAGAGTCCCTTGGACAGCAAGGAGATCAAACCAGTCCATCCTAAAGGAAATCAGTCCTGAATATTCATTGGAAGGACTGATGCTGAAGCTGAAACTCCAATACTTTGGCCACCTGATGTAAAGAACTGACTCATTGGAAAAGACCCTGATGCTGGGAAAGACTGAAGATGGGAGGAGAAGGGGACGCCAGAGGATGAGATGGTTGGATGGCATCACTGACTCGATGGACATGAGTCTGAGTAAACTCCAGGAGTTGGTGATGGACAAGGAGGCCTGGCAGGCTGCAGTCCATGGGGTCACAGAGAGCCGGACACGACTGAGCGACTGCACTGAACCTCCACGTGGCGCTTTCACATCTTCCCTCAGAGACCCTTGGGTGGTTGGTACCATCTTTACCGACAAGGAAGCCGGTGGAATCCTTCCTGCCATGGTTATTTGCAGCCAGGCCATGTGATACCCCCATGGGTAAAGATTAGAGCTCTAGGTGACGGTTCCCAGCCTTGTGGGACACATCTCTCTGTCGAAGCTCCTCTCTGTCTGCTTCTATTAATCACTCAAGCAAACCAAGTCTCCACATCATGAGAGCTACAGGTCATCACAATTATCCAGCAGCAAGGTCATCAGATCAAGTTTCCAGGGGAGACGGAGTCAGGTTCAAGATAAGGTGAGGAGCCACAGGGCTGTCCTCTCGGGGCTTTTATTGCCTGCTCCCTCCGCCTCCCACCCTGCATGAAGCCACAGGGACAGGAGGAGGCAGCCCCGCCCTGCGGGCAGCACCGTCCGGTTGCAGAGGGAGGAGGTGCAAGCCCCCCAGAAGGGCTCCAGCTTCCTGTCATGATGGTTGGACTCCAAGCCCACCAAGAAATGACCCTTGGCCATACTCGGAACTTGGGAGCTCAGCTGGGTTCTCAGTCACAGGAGGCGAGAGCCTCTCCTTCCTGCCTGAGACCTAATAGAAACCCCAGCATCCCTCCAGGAAGGCTTTCATCCCGAGATGCCATCATCCACTTGCCCTAATTAAGAAGGTCCTTTCAGATGCTTCTAGTTGTTAGGAATACCTGGGCAGCAGGAGGGAGGTCCGGCCAAGAGGCACTAATGCCCCCAGGGACCCCTCCTTAGTGCCGACCAGCACGCTCACTGCCCATGAACACTGCAGAGGGCGTCAGGCGGATTTCAGAGCCACCCAGCCTCTGTGAGCACGCAGGGGGCCTGCTGCACATGGAGCAAGGGGTGGGGCCACAGATGTGGGTGAACCGATCACTGGCCTCGAGGTGCCCAGCCCGTCAGGGCCGCCTTCTGGGGTAACGGTCAGTGACCCTCACAGCCACTGACACTCCGAGGCCCACGTTCTGTCTCTTGCATCTCCCAGCCTCCAGTCTGCTGTCCAGAGGAAAAGATGGCATTTCCACCTTATTTTTCAGATGAGCAGAGAGACTGAGGTGCCAGGGACCAACCCAAAGTGACCAGTCGTCTGTGACGACCCCGGATCTGACACTGAACACACAGAGCCTGCAGCCTGGACCACACATGCGCCTCCCAGTGCCCACCTCCAACCGCAGGGAGCAGGACGAGCTCCACTCCCTCCCAGTAACAGCTGGAGCCGCGTCCTATGAGAGGCGCTCAGGCCTGGGGCTGGGGGGGGGGGGGGTTGTGGTGCTGCAGCAGACGCAGACTTAGGGGAAGGTACAGAGGGTCTGAAACACTGACCAGACTGGAGAGGGAAGTCGGGACCCCCAGGCTCACCTCACCAAGGGCCTGTGGGGGAGTCAGAGGCATCACCCTGCCCCTCCACACTCACATCCTTCTAGGCTATACCTCGGTGCCCACAGACCCCATCAGCTGAGTGACTAAGGTTTTAGCTTGTTATCCTTGCTTAAAGACTTGGAACAGCACTTCACAGGAAACATTGTTCTTTACCCAAAGAAACCCTGCTTTCCTCGTGTGCTTTTCTCATTGTTAAATAGGAAAACTACTTACTATACTCATTAACTTGAAAAATATGAGGAATTCTACCCGGAAAACAAGGTTATCTACTCTCATTCTAATCTGTTATATCGCTCCCCATATTTAACAGGGATTTTTAGTCCCAAATGCATCCATGAATGGACACACACACATCTGACAGTCACCAGAGACCAACCAAAGCTGAAGGATATAGTCCTGGGAAGAATGAAATTCGGTGAGCAGCACAGTTCCCAGGGTTCCCCTCAATTCAAGAAAGTAAACCGCAAGCAAGATCAATACAAAGCCCTTCACACCCAGCTCATGCAAACCAGAGACAGGACCTTAAAAGCAGCCACTGACCCCAGACACATTCTGTTCAGCAGAACAGTGGGAATGATGGCTAACTGCTCATCAGGAACAAGAAGAGCTGCGAGACAATGGAATGACATTTCTAACATGCAGGAAAACTACATGTCAGCCTGGACTCTGTTTACAGCAGACATAGGTCATTGGAAATCCAAGGCTAAGAGGCAGTAATGCAAGACAGAAACCTGAATTTTAAGAAGGGACGAAGGTCACCAGATATGATAAATATATGGACAAAAACAAATTTTTTTCTTAATTTCTTTGCAAGACCATTGAGTACTTAGGCAAAATTTTCTAAAATATGAAGTTTATCACAATGGCATTTAACAACAATAGGATTGCAATAATGTAAAGTAATTAGCCTCCAACTAATAAAAATAAATGGAAAAAAGAAAACAACAATAGGAAGGGGAAAGAAAGGTAAATGAAATTAATTCTGCTGTGCACTGTGTCCATTATACATGAAGTGGTGTAATAGTTACTTAAGGTATGTAGTGAGAAGTTAAGGTTGCATATTGAAATCCTTAGAGCCGTTGCTAAAAAGTAGAACAAAGCCCAAAGAACAAGAGAGACAATAAAGAAGATTAAACTGAATAGTAAAAAAAGAAGCCCAAAAGGAGGCAGGAAAGGAGGAACAAAAGAAGTACAGATGGTAAAATGGAGGGAAAAAAAGGTTTACACCCAGCCATGTCATTAATCGCCTTAAAAGTGAGAAGACCTATGAGCACAGGGTCTGAATAGACATGTCTCTGAAAAAAACACAGAGATGGCAAACAGTCCGTGAGTCATCGGGGGAAATGCAACCAAAGTCACAGTGAGATACCACTTCACACCCACCAGGACAGTTACAATAAAAAATAGATGATAGGTTTGGTGAGGACGGGGAGGAACTGGAAGCGTCATGTACCACTGGTGGGGACATAAAACCATGTGGCAGCTTCAGAAAAGATGACAGTTTCTCAGATGGTGAAACATGGTTAACCCAGGTCCACCCACAGGGGAACCAGAAACCGGGCTGTAGCATCCACACAGTGGAACGATCGCGCTGTAGCTCCACAAACACTGTGGATGATGAACCCTAAAAACATCATGTTGCCTGTCCTGAGCCAGATGAAAAGAGTGCACACCGCAGAGCCCATCTACAGAAAGTTCAGGAACCAGGAGAACAAACCCACAGGAGAATCCAGAACAGGCGTTTCCCTGCAGAGGGGCACAGCGGGGCCAGGCCCCGAGGGAAACCTTGTGTCTGCCCTGTCAGGCGTTATGTGGTGTGCACTTTCAACACACAGCGAACCACACACACACTGTGCATCTCATCACAGGTAAAACATGCTTCTATTTTAAAAGTATCCATGACCATCGTCTGTGGTATCTGGCACACGCTAGCGAAGCCTTCAAAGTGCAAGCCACCTTTGCACGGAAATGCTCATGAACACAGAAGCCACGCCTCAGGCGTCTGCACCGCCCCATCACAACCCGCCCTGCTCGGCGAAGTGCCGGCTTAGGACCACTCACTTCAGCACACAGAGGATGGCGCCGGGGGGGCTGCGGGAGGAGCGGCCGTGGCCCCCGGGGCGCAGAGAGAGCAGGGGGGAGGCGCACCGGGAGAGGAGCACCGGGAGAGGAGGGGCACGGAGGCAGGGGGTGGGGAGGGAACAGGCAGCTGGAGGCGGGGCATGGGAGGGGCGGGGCGTGGGGCGGGGCATGGGAGGGGCGGGGCATG